AGGGCATGAGTGACCGTGCGGAGGTCCCCCTGATCCAGGAAGGGGCGTAACTGCCGCACGAACTGCCGCACCAAATTCCTGAACATGGCTTCACTCCATGATAAAATTGGCTGATTTACACACACTCATTGTCAGATTCTAATTTATACACTTATCTCAACAAACTCTGCTGAAATAAATGGGGGAATTATGTACAGGATTGCACTGTCAATTTCTTATCATTCAGTGATTTGCGACTGAATGTCCTAAACCAGCATCAGGCAATCTGGCCCCTTCTGGAATTCTTCCAGTCTCACGTCATTGACTATCCTTGTTGGGGCAGATCGGAATACAGTAGAAACCCCAAACATATGGCAGATACCTGGTTGCTTACTCTTGGTATAAATGGCTGTTCTAAAAAAACACATTATTTTAGAGGTGATATTAAAGTTTCTGGTCTTGCTATTTCACACATATAAATCATCCTTTGATGTGCATTTATCAAGTATTGACCATATACTGTATATGTGAGTATCTAAATATGTGTCTCCACTGACCATTCTACTAATTCCTGTGGTAAGCAAAAAGAGAGACTCCAACATACTTCCTATTTCAAACATCAAACACAAAAACAAGGATGATCCAATTCTCCAAGCATTTAATCCTAGGGAACAGAAAAGCATGACTACTTATGCCTGCCGACCGCTTATTCCTCCACTTTGGAGATAATCCATGCTGTTGCACGTGGAAAAAGTAGTATGTAAAGAAGTCACAGGGGAATCCATTTTCAGAATAGAATATATATATGAGGGTCACGTTCACACAGTATGGCTGACCTAATTAATTAGCTGTTCCCTAAATTAATGGACTCAGGTTGATACAATCAACTGGTAAATGGCTGTTTTCTAAAAAGGCCAGGACACTGTCACTTCCTTTTTCCTGGGTGAAAAAACCAAACCCCCTAGAATGGTACAATCACAGTTGGCGGCATCATGTCAGATATGGAGGGACTTGCCACTCCACTCCTTTGGGCCTATTTTTACCCTCTGTAGCAACAGGTGTATGTGCTGAAAACTGAAATGGCGATAGCAGTCCTGATTTCCCTAAGCCTATCCTTCATTCAGATGGACAAAGGGTGACTGTTGGAAAGAGGGAGGCACAATGTTTGCTGATTTTCCTGTGCCATCTGAACATCTGGAAGGGGGCAGGTCTTACTCCCTGTCATGGGTTCTCTCCACTTGACCAAAGTCTTTTGATATATAACACCAAGAAAATGACACCACTGTATTCAACACATCCATTCCCAAGTATGGAAAGATTCATTGGTCTTCCAATAAATCTAAATGCCAAATCAAATACATTTCAGAACCATGTTAATTTAAACATCTAACTAAGAAAATTATTCACTTGTATATATGTTAGAAGAGTTTTAATTATACTGTGATGTTACAGCTAAATAAACGTTGGCAATCTACAGCTTTTAAATCATGTTCTCCATGCTTTGATAGCTAAGTCAGGTTAGTTAACATACAACCTCAATAATGCGTTTAAATATGCATATATTCAAATGTAAGTCTATATCTAGATACCCAGGAGCATGCATGTTTTCACTCTTTTCTTACAGGAAGGATAGTAGAAAACAAAGTTACGCAGATCACAAAGAACATACCTCTTGTACCAGTCGGCTGATTTTCAACTGTTTTTCTCTTTCCAACTTCTCTTCTTTTTCCTTGAGAAGTGTTAGCTCAAACTCCAGTTGCATTTTGCTTTTTTTCTGTTCACTGAGACTGTCACTTTTGGATTTTTTAATTTCTTTACCTTTCTGGATTATTGTTATATTATTATTGTTATTATTCATTATAAATGTATACTACAAATGTGTGGGAGCTTCTCCTAGGTAACTGGGACACAATCATCCAGTTATTACTGCGGCAAGGCATAAAAACCAATCTCATAATGAGTTATGTTCTAACACAACCTACAGCGATACATCAGGTTTTGAGGGAAAGCGGAAGATAACAAGGAGCAGGCAGACTGCTTCTCCTTCGTGCGCACCTGTTAAAAATTTCCCACTACACTGATTTCAAGAATGATCCCCAAAATCAACAGTTTTGCATGCTTTTAAGTAACAGGTGCTCATATATGTAATGGAAGTATTCCATCATGCAATGTACTGCACAACATAATGCCGAAATAATAAAGCAACAAACTGCGCAAAAACCAAAACCAAAACCAAACCTAAACAACACAACCAAAACCTTCAGTGGAAAACCAAACTACTTATTTGGAATTTCATTCAATTGCTCAAATGTCTTAATTTGACAACCTTCATATGAGTTAATAGACATCATTGTTTTTAATGGACTTAACTAAATTAGCATTCTGGAAAACAATGGCTGTCATCTTAAAGAGAAAAAAATATTTGCAGAGAGAAACCACTTAGAGTCAGATGACTGAAATGGCATAAACCAGTGGATTTAGGTTCAAAAATAATGTTTGTTTCCCTAAATCAGTGTTGTCCAAACTTGGCCACTTTAAGATGAGTGGACTTCAACTCCCAGAATTCCCCAGCCA